AATGCTTTGCAAAAAGATCGATGATTAAATACCGTCTTTTCATTGGCGGAGAACTATACAGCTTTGAACGTGGTTTTCCGTGGTTATTATTTTTGCCCTTCGGTGTTTTGATAGAAAATCTTGAAAAAAAAAGGTCTACGTTTTCAAAGTTCATTTTTAACATGAAAAGTGTATTATTTTTATTCCATACAAAAAGTTTATAATCTCTACCCATGTATTTACACGGTTTTGTGGGTTTTTTAAATCGCTTATATTATATATCTTTTTAGTTTAGGCTGCCACAGACACAGTATGATTCATGAACAAAATCAGAGTAACTTTCTCTCGTTTAATAGCAAAATAAGAGCTAACGCTGATCATCTTCAGTTTAAAAATGCAGATGTGCATCTTTCTTCTCTTATAACTTGACTTTTACTATTCCCGCAGATTTAAGATTTCTCATGGTAAAAGTCATTATATTCGTAGTCAGTTTAACACAGATTTAGGAGAGATCTGTCATGCCTTTTTTAAATTAACAATCATTTATTCCTAAGTTTGTAACTAAAATAGGACAAATTGGGTACTCTACAAACACTTGTCTAGAACAAAAACTAAGGCACAGTTATTAACCGTTCTTACGCAGAATAAATCTCAAGACATTGAGCTTTTAGTACGCCCGCGTAATGGTTTGCTGAGTGGGATGGGGAAGAAGTTATATTGTTTGAAACATAGTCAAAAATGCGAACTTCCTAACCGACACCGGCAAAGTCGCTTCAGGGCTCATTAACCCCGTGACCCCGAGCCAGGGAGCTCCGGCGGGCTGCTGAGTCACGCTAATTAAAGGTAACAGAATCGGACGAAAAGTGACGTCGTGGTGGGAATAAATATTTCATGAGATACTTTCCCAATTATTTTAGCAGTTGAACATGCGTACAACAAGAATTCAGGGTTTGTTTTCATTCGCAACTCAGTGTTGCCACTTGCCACTTGGAGTAAGATTTTTGTGCGATATCTCGAGGCCCTAGCTATCTGGTCCCATCTCACTTTGATTACACTGTCAAACAAGTCAGCCTTCGCCCCTGTGTGAATGACAGAGCAATAAGTTAATTTTTGGGCCCAAAGCAAAATTTGTTATAATATAGTTATATGAACGAAACAGTGTGTCATAACGGTTCTGAACGAAACCTCATTCTATGTAATTTACAGTTGTTTCAGGATGTAGTACACCTTGCATACATTCCGATATTTTTTATTTTAATCATAAGTGTAAGGGTGTGGATTTTAATCAATATTTTAATTTTTTGTAGTAGTAATGGTTATGAATTAACTATTTGTCCATTTAATATATTTTGAGGGCTTTTGCGTGTTAATAAACTTTAAAAACTAAAACATGTACACAGATACATATTATGAGGACAGTTTCATTTAATAAAAGTTTTCAAAATGAAAGACGGATCAAAATTTATTAATTTTTAGGTCAAAACTGAAGTTTGTTGTAATTGTTATCCCTCATGAACGAACCATTAAAGGTAATTCTAACAGTATTTCAGTGATTAAACTTTGAATTCTCCCTACATAATGAATGGTATATTTTGAGGAGAGTCTCATAAATTAAAACAATTTTATGTGAAACACAGGATAGAACAATAAGTTAATTTTTGGGGCCCAAAGTAAAATTTTTCATAATAGTTATGAACGAAACAGTGCGTCATAATGGTTATGAAAACTTTAAATTTATTCATACATGACCCAATGACCAGTTTGCATTGAAAAATAGTTGTTCAATGGTCTTTTATTTTAGACTATAAGGCTGCGGTTATTGGTACAATAGTGCTTACAACTCTAACTAGTTATTAGTACAATTGTACTAATAACCAGACAGAGTTATTCGTACAATTATTCGAATTTTTGAGGTTGTTGGTAAAAATAAGCCTAGATCACTAGATCTAGTCATCCAGTTGTTTCTCCTCTGGGTTGAGCATCAATGTAATATAACTTTAACCAGGCCTAAAAGGAAAAGTAGGCTAGATCTATACTTCTATTAGTAGATCTATAATTATGACTACATCTAGATCTATATATATAGATGTTTCTTTGTTTTTATACAAAACCATGAGTGGAAATCTTTGAAGTCAAAACATACAATTATGGGGAAAAAATTGCTGGTCAGTCGGGGGAGGAAAGAGAAGAAGAAAAATACAAAACAAAAAACAAAAAACTTCCGGGACCGGGATTCGAACCCACACTCAAAATATAATACTTCTTCTAATGCACACGCTGTCATTTCGGCCATCAGAACTATCAACAGAAGGAGGTAGATTAAAAGCTTAAATTTTTACAGCACGATTTCAACGCAACACACATTTCTAGATCTATCTATCTAGAGTTTAGATCTAGACTTATTATATCTAGTTGTATTTTTTGTTTTACATGAGGCATGAGGCGGCTGGCATCAGATCGGCAGATGAGGTATGACAAAAAAAATTTAAAATTTCAACTGATGATGGAATATTGGAAACACTGATCTAGAGTCTCTAGGTCTAGATCTTGATTTTTAGATCTACTAAGACAGAACATGTAGGTAGTAGGCCTGTGGGCATACAGGCCAACTATTGTATGGATACCTGCAGCACTTCGTAAAATTGTGCGTATTTACAACATTGTACGAATAACTAGACAAGAGTTGTTCGCACAATTGTATGGATAACCACCCCGGACTATAATTAGACCAGAGTGTTATTTTTATAGACAATTTTTAGATTCTAGTCAATGAAACTTGATATATTGATTGTTTTTTGGTAACTTAGTGTTCGTTCATAACTATATCAAACAAAAAAGTAATATTGTATCAAAAATTAATCAAAATTTTTGTCCAATTTTTGTATCCTGTCAATTCTATGTATTTTTGGAAGTTGTTTGCTATCAGCAGCTATGTCTCAAAATATAACCTCAGCCTAGATGAAGAGAGGAACTTTGATTTTCTCATAAATTTGTGTCATCATTGTTATAAATGAACAAGCTTTTTGCGATTTCTGTCATAAAGTCAGAATTACACCAAGACCATATATAGCATGTATAGCTTTGACAGTTACCGAGCCTGTAAGTGTTAGAGCAATCATTAGGCTCTTTGGTGATTTTGTTGTTTCGTTTGTTAAAGTCAAGAATAGGGGGGG